TAGCCACTACGAGGAAATCTTTCAAACCCGTAGTGAACTCGCCGGAGAGTCGGTTACCGTACATCCATTGCCGATTCATCTGCATTATTATAATATAAAATAGGCTTCCGTCCAGCCCCATTAGTCGCGAAACTGTAGGAACCGCGACTAATGAAGTCTTTAGTCGCGGTTCGGCAGATGAACCGCGACCAAATGCCTGGGCCCAGGGCGCTCGCGGGCTTTAGTCGCGGTTGGCCAGGCCAACCGCGACTAAAGGTGCCCAAAGGCCTTTAGTCGCGGTTGGCCAGGCCAACCGCGACTAAAGCTCCTCCCTTTTAGTCCCGGTTTGTGGCACGAACCGGAACTAATGGGGTTGAGACCTTTAGTCCCGGTTCGTGCCACGAACCGGTACTAAAGGTCCCATTTTCAAACTCTAACCCCCCCCCCCCGGGGATCGCCTTTTCAGTTTTAAAAAAAATAAAAGAAAATAATGGAAATGTCAAAAAAATAAAAGAAAATAAGTTTCTCATGTGATATGTGGTCTAGTTGTTGGGAAAATTTGCAAATGTGAATTTTGACTTTATTTGCAAAATCTCTCTGAAATTTGTAAAAATGGGCATAACTTTTGCATACTAACTCGGATGAAAAAGTTTTTTATATGAAAAATCATCTACTCGAAAAGTTACATCCAAATTTAACCGGGGGAACCCCGTTAAACATTTTCAAAATCCTCAAAAACCTAATAGAAAAAAGTTACGGGGCTTGTAAGATCTAGAGTGGAAAAAATTGAAAAATATTCAAACAGTGGGCAAACTATGGTCAAACAATGGTCAAACTAATTATTCTAGAATATTAGTGTTACTAAATAATTATTTTAATTATTTCAATTTTGGTCAAATCTGGTCAAACTGTGGTCAACTGTGGTCAAACTGTGGTCAAACAATGGTCAAACTAATTATTCAAGAAATATTAGTGTTACTAAATAATTATTGTTTTTTAAAACAATAGTTTCAAACTCAAACAGTGAAATGTGTCACTTCATGCTCAAGCAAAATTCCTGAAGGTTAATAGGATTGACATCTTATTATTGTCAGGAAAACAACAAGTGCAGACTTGGAGCGTGGGAGAATAGAACCCGGAAGTTAAGCGTGCTTGGGCTGGAGTAGTGAGAGGGATGGGTGACCGGTTGGGAAGTTAGATGATTTGGAATGATGAGGGGTGATAAAAGAATAAATTGAGAAGTGATGAGGGGTGGTGATTAGAGACTAGAGGTTAAAATAATTTAGAAATTTGAAAAAAAAATTCAATTTTTTTTTCAAAAACCTGTGGCGGCCTTTAGTCGCGGTTAGCCACAAGAACCGCGACTAAAGGTCCTCCGCCCCGAAGGCCACCTGGCGCCCACGTGGACGGGCCTTTAGTCGCGGTTCTTAAGCAACCGCGACTAAAGGGGGGGGCCTTTAGTCGCGCCCGTTCGGTCGCGGTTGCGCAACCGCGACTAATGGCAGTTGCGAACCGCGACCAAAGGCCCTTTTTCCACCAGTGTATAATATAAAATATATAATTAACCATCATGCATTTGTTAAACTAACTAGCTACAAACAATATAAATTAAACAATGAACTGCACACATGCATATTTTATCAATGACACACATGCATGAAAGGTTCAAGTTGCTAACCGCGATCGAGGAGGAAAAAATAAATGAGGAACCTCAAGTGTGGCTCCAACACTTCATATCATGTTTGTTTCACCCTCTTAGGGCATTTCATCAAACACCTTGTGTGCATAAGAGGAACCAAAAGCAAACCTACACCCCCTTGTGAAGCTTGTGAAGAGAAGTGGCACCAAATGGCTAAGTGAGCGTGCTGAACTGGTATATATAGGGGAGGAGCTTTAGTCGCGGTTGGCCTGGCCAACCGCGACTAAAGGCCTTTGCGCACCTTTAGTCGCGGTTGGCCTGGCCAACCGCGACTAAAGCCCCTCACGTGCACCAGCTGGCCACCGAGCGCCCTGGGCCCAGGCCTTTGGTCGCGGTTCGTCTGCCGAACCGCGACTAAAGACTTCATTAGTCGCGGTTCCTACAGTTTCGCGACTAATGGGGCTGGACGGAAGCCTCTTTTTCTACCAGTGCTACTAAGCGATTATAGGCGATCAGTTAGAGATGCCATGGCCCCGTTTGATGTTCAACCAGCATTGAAACCCATATAAAGTACTCCCTCCGTCCCAAAATAAGTGTCGCTGAATACTAAATCAGCAACACTTACTTTGGGACGGAGGATAACTCTGTACTAAATCAGCGACACTTTGGGGCGGAGGGAGTAGAATTTTATTCGTATATTACATGTTCATAAGGAAGGGATTTTGTACAGCATAACAGGTTTTGAACTACATTTGAAGTGTACATGCAGAATTTGACAGAGTGCTTGCTTCTAGGTCACTTACTTGATGCGTGACAATTACCTAGTTCGCTCCTATCCATCCATCATCGGCTCTGTCACTTACTAATTTCTTCGGCTCTGGGTCTAGATATCTTGCTTGTTGCTTCGTTAGCATAGGGCTGTTAACCCTCCCGGGTGTCGGACAAGTAAGGAATTACCAGTTTACTTCGCCCATGCCCTCGTGCTCTCTTGTTTCTGTGCACACGATCTCCTATTATTACCATATATACAAGCAGCATACAAAAAATCCTACAATTATGACAGTCTTCCATTCACGTACTGTCAAATATCGAAGTAGGTATTTATTATGTTGGCTTCATGCATAGATGAGTTCTAATCATTGTTAGGTCTCTTCGCCTCACGCAAATACTCCCTCCGTTCCTAAATATTTGTCTTTCTAGACATTTCAAATGACTACTACATACGGATGTATGTAGACATATTTTAGAGTGTAGATTCACTCATTTTGCTCCGTATGTAGTCACTTGTTGAAATGTCTAGAAAGACAAGTATTTAGGAACGGAGGGAGTAGTTCATTGCACTAGGTGCATCGCATCGACTGTATTAGCATGCATCAACTCTCTCTGATTGCAAATCTGAGTCATTTTGGTACAGTCTCACTCTAACAGTCATTTTCATGTTTCACATATTCTGCGAAGCTGCAACTTTTGTTATATAATTGCTGAAATCATACCTGCTTCAGTAAATCCCTTCATGGTGTAATTTGGATACATGATAAGATTTTTTAAGATAACATCAGTAGCATGTCTGCCTCATTCACTTGTTCTTACGATCGCAACTAACTTTGTGTCCTCGCTAAATTGGTGTCAGCAAGAAGATCGGAAGATGCGAAAAGGTTGTTGCATGATGTCTTAACTGAAATGATCCTAATCCATTTCCCTCCTTTCTTCGTCATACCATGTTCGAGTGAATGGCAGCCGAAACTTCACTAGACTGTGCAAGATAAACTAGGTTCAATGAAACATTTGGTGAACTGTCGGCTGAGTGCACCATACAAGAAACTAACTCAAGCATCCAAGATTCTAACAGTTACTGTACTTTCTTTTGAAATGTCACCGCCCGGGGAGGCAGGCCTCACCTCAAAAGCTTTGCAGCAGAGGTAAAGAGGGGGGGAGAGTTGAGACCCATCAGCAACAGTTACAAAGAAGAACTAAGGAGTCTCGCCACGAAGGCACGAGAGCCAGCCGTAACACAACAAGGTTCCGGTGCTTCCAAATATGTCAGCGGCATAGGAGAACAAAGGCATTGGCTGCAACCTGCAACAGGGGCGACGGCCGCAGCCACAGTCCACCAGGTGGTGCTCGCGGACAGTGGCACCGTCACGGACGTGGACGCCGATGCTCCACCGGAAGGAGGCGGCACACCGACGACAGTGGAAGCTCAAATGGTCAGCACTCTCCAGATGGGCACGGGGGATGTCACACCCAGCCTCACACTCTTTGACGATCTTATTTTTGAGCAGCAAGTCTCAAATTATGAGGTTTCACTGCAATATGTAGCCAGCCGATCTTGTAACAAATTATGTGATAACTGCAAGACTTTCAGGCACTAGTTTGGAACCAAATCTACCCATTCTAAATACTCGAGCAATCTGCATGACACCATATTTAGTAAACCATATACCATATGGACCATGACACCATATATATCCCACCATTCTGCATGTGCCATTTGAATTACCCTACCTGAAGATGTTTTTATTGATACATATGCTGAGCCACTGAACATCGAGGTTTTCTGTTCATGCAAGCTTGCGATAGTTTACTACTGACACTATATGCTACCAGAGAGTGGATTTTGCTTTCCGGGGAACTCGAAATTGACTATGTTTGACTAAATTATTTTCTTCAGACAAAATCTGAAGAACCTTCAAAAACAGGATTGGTTTGACAACCCTAGCAGCTCAACAGTATGGTCAGGATTCAAGTAGGAAAAACTGGTCAATCAGAAGTTCAATCCCCGCAAAAAAAAGGTTCAGAAACAGGAAATTAATTAGAAACACACTAGTGGCTAGTGACAGAGAGAAAACTTAAAAAGTGCTTAGTTTTAGCTACGGGCAGAATCATTTTGCTCTCTCCCCTGAAAAAAATGAAGAAATAGTCATGCTCACTATATCTGGTAAGATGCATACTTTTAATATATAGAAAAGCTTCATAAATGGCACTAGCATCTCTTTACACTCTGTATATGCACTCTATATATAGAAAAGCTCCATATTGATTTCATAAATTCTGTTCAGCAGTCATATCGAATATCTATTTGCTTGACAGAAATGGAAATAACAACAGAAATATAAATATTTGGATAATGTAAACTCACATTCAGCCGGCGCGAACAGATAACAAGTGACCACATTAATCAGTACTACATAAACGCAAATATATTTAGGTGACCAAGTCATTCATGCAACGTACTAAGCAAGCATTTACCCATTTGGACCGCTTGTCTCTTACAAAATCTCTACGACTAACCAACATTGTTCAACGCCACAAAACGGATGCACCTGGAGAGCACATATAATTTGGAATGCTAGGAGGACATGTCCAAACCAGTGCCACGGAACTAGAAGAGTGAATTTTGCAAAGGTCGAGCCAAATCGGCAAAGCAGGGAATAAAAGGCAGACCACCCAGGAAATCTCCAGTGGTGCATATGGGACGCACTTGCCTGCTGTCCATATCGTACGACAGATTTACCTCCTTCCAATCAGTAAGGAAGATAACATTATGCTCCGGATGCATTGCAAACACATCGTACTTATGGGCCCCATCCTCTTGGCGGCGACAATCCTCTTCTTCTTCATCGGATTCCGTTTTTTCTCCAAAGAGACGCGGGACGTCGACGGTATGCTTTAGGGTCCACTCTTCTTCGGTAGTAGCATAATAATCCTTGAGCACCCACACAGAGAGCTCGTAATCATGAGGATCCATGTACCAAGCATGAAGGAGTCCCTGAGAGCACCCCACCGAACCATAACCAGGTATGGCTCCTAGCATGTCATCCGGGACAGCAATCTCCCGACAAACCTGCCCCTCCGTGTCCAGCACGGCTATCAAGGGCTCGTCGACCGTCAAATGCAGAAAATGCATCATGCCATTGAGGAGGACGGCGCATTCCGGATCGACGGCGGGATGCGCTATGTCTTCCCACCCGCTGCTCGGAGCCCATTGTCCGGTCTCCCATGAGTATACCGCCACGACGTCGACCGACTCCATGAGGGGCGCGAACACCGCGAAACGAGACGGAACGGCCGGGTCGAAAACCAGGAAGGGATACATCAGCTCGAAACTTTGGGGTTCTCCATCGTCTTGGTCCGGCCATTCTATAGGAGGCAGCACGGTCCACTGCTCGGTCATGGGATTGCACACGACAAAGTCGAATTCGTCGTCGTCGTCTTCCGATTCCCAGCACTTGCATAGGAGGAGGCTGGTGGAGCATTGCTGGAGCTTGAATCTTTGGTAGGTCTTGCGCAGGAACGGGAGCGAAGCGTCGACCAGCGGCCGTCCGCCGGACAAATTGCTGAAGCAGAGGCTGCCGGCCAAGTTGTTGTGGAAGAATCCGGAGAGGGTCTGCGGCGCCGTCTTGATGCTTTTGATGAGGTCGGAGCAGAGCTCGCCCCACTGCTTGGAGACGCACTGGAAGCGGCAGAGCGACCGGTAGGGCAGCCGCGCCAGGATCTCGACGAGGGGGCCCTCGGAGGAGACGCTCCCCGCCGCCGCCGGCGGTTGCCTCTGCTTCCCCTGCTTCCTCCTCTTCTATGAACGGACCCAAGAAAGAAAGATTGATTAGGCTCCCGGCCGATTCCCGTCCATTGACCCAAGAAAGATTGATTGGAAGAAGAGGTATGGATCAGACCTGAGAAGCTACGGCGGGGAACGGCGGCGCGGGACGGGACTCGCCGCGGCGGCGGATCGCCGGCGGGTGGCTCTGCTCCTTCCCCGTGCGGCCATGCTTGCTTGCTTCTCCTCCCCCGGCTGGCATCGCGCTCCTCGTGGGCTCGTGGATCGGTGGCTGGCCGTCAAGTTCCGGAGCTCGCCGGAAGTCTAGGGTTTGGAAGCCGGAAGGGCAACAGAGCGGCGGCGGCCGCGGCTGTGTTCCTCGAAGGGACGGCCTTCACGATTCTTCCGGAATTCTGCCGAGATAACCGTCCGTATGTATATCTCGAATTGATATTTTTTTTACTTTCAACAAACTACCCTACTTTATCGTGAACAAACATGTGCTTGGATGGTTATGACGACCTTGGTATCCAGCTCACTACGGTTCGAGTCTTGATGCTCGCATTATCCTGAATTTATTTCAGAATTTTTACCTATGTATCTTCAGTAGAAGGAGACGTCTCCGTCGATTACGAGGTGCTTGTGATGACTTTGTCAATTTTAAAATGATATGTCGGTCTAGCCTTTTGGATGTGCTCATAAGGTAGGGTATGCGTTTGTGCTCATAAAGGTGGGTGTATTACCACGCTTCGTCTCTCTAGAATTTTTGTCCGCCCCCTCTTTTCTGAAACTAATTTTTTTTGTCCATCTACAACCTTTAACAATAAATCAATGGTGGATGCATGCCAAACGATTTTACGATAAATTTTGCATAATAAGCAATTCAACAAGTTTATCATTAAATGCAACAAATCGGACGAATCAAAGTTGGTCAATGCTTTAATGTTGCTATGCATCATGGGGACCACTTGGCGTCGATATTAGAGGGCCTTTTTAGTCCGGACTATCAGATACACATAAGTAGGGGAAGGGTTGGGGTCGCCCTACCATCCAACAAGAGCATGCCGCTGACATAAAAGAAAAGCGACCTATAGGAGTAATATGGGACTCGCCTCTAACCCCTGGGTTATCCTGGAGCGACCCTGGAGGACCCCACCACCACCTACCCACATTGCACCATGCCTTTTTTATCGTCGTTAAATGCTAAGCCCTATCTGACGTACGACGACAGTATACTCATGCTCAACATGCTCCCTCGCCTGTGGGCTTCTTCCCGCTCCACAAGGCAGTTGCTCTGAAGCCCCCTCCTTTCTCTTCCTTGTCTGGCTATGACCTCCAGCAAGCTTCAGTGGCATAGATCAGGCATGGATCTAAAATCTTGAACCGTGTCATCCTCAATCACTCTAAGGTGCCAACAATACACATGTCCGGAATCTCTATCATTGTAGCAGTTGAGTTGTGGGTCTGGTTGAGATGATGGAGGTTGAAACTTCCCCCCTTCTGCCTTAGATCCAAATGTGTCCCTGCACCCTAATCGCGACTATCGATCGACCTATAAGTCACAGGTCATGCCCTTGAGACCATGTATGGTTGATTGGGTGTGTGGTGACTAGCAGAAGGCTGGAGACCACTTGGCGTCAATATTAGAGGGCCTTTTTAGTTCGGACTAGTGGATACACATAAGTAGGGGAAGGGTTGGGGTCGCCCTACCATCCAACAAGAGCATGTCGCTGACATAAAAGAAAAGCGACCTATAGGAGTAATATGGGACTCGCCTCTAACTCCTAGGTTGTCCTCGGGCGACCCTGGAGGACCCCACCACCACCTACCCACATTGCATCATGCCCTTTTTATCGTCATTACATGCTAAGCCCTATCTGACGTACAACGACAGTATACCCATGCTCAGCATGCTCTCTCGTCTGTGGGCTTCTTTCCCCTCCACAAGGTGGTTGCTCTGAAGCCCCCTCCTTTCTCTTCCTTGTTTGGCTATGACCTCCAGCGAGCTGCATTGGCCTGGATCAGGCATGGATCTAAAATCTTGAACCGTGTCAGCCTCAATTACCCTACGGTGCCAACAATACATCATGTTAGGAATCTCTATCAGTGTAACAGTTGAGTTCTGGGTCTGGTTGAGATGCATGGAGGTTGAAACTTCCCCCCTTCTGCCTTAGATCCAAATGTGCCCCTGCACCCTAATCGCGACTATCGATCGACCTATAAGTCACAGGTCATGCCCTTGAGACCATGTATGGTTGATTGGGTGTGTGGTGACTAGCAGAAGGCTGGAGACCACTTGGCGTCAATATTAGAGGGCCTTTTCAGTTCGGACTAGTGGATACACATAAGTAGGGGAAGGGTTGGGATCGCCCTACCATCCAACAAGAGCATGTCGCTGACATAAAAGAAAAGCGACCTATAGGAGTAATATGGGACTCGCCTCTAACTCCTAGGTTGTCCTCGGGCGACCCTGGAGGACCCCACCACCACCTACCCACATTGCATCATGCCCTTTTTATCGTCGTTACATGCTAAGCCCTATCTGACGTACAACGACAGTATACCCATGCTCAGCATGCTCTCTCGTCTGTGGGCTTCTTTCCCCTCCACAAGGTGGTTGCTCTGAAGCCCCCTCCTTTTTCTTCCTTGTTTGGCTATGACCTCCAGCGAGCTGCATTGGCCTGGATCAGGCATGGATCTAAAATCTTGAACCGTGTCAGCCTCAATTACCCTACGGTGCCAACAATACATCATGTTAGGAATCTCTATCAGTGTAACAGTTGAGTTCTGGGTCTGGTTGAGATGCATGGAGGTTGAAACTTCCCCCTTCTGCCTTAGATCCAAATGTGCCCCTGCACCCTCGGCTTCCTCTACCTCGGGCTCAATCGCGACTATCGATCGGCCCATAAGTCACAGGTCATGCCCTTGAGACCAGGTATGGTTGATTGGATGTGTGGTGACTAGCAGAAGGCTGGAGAAATCTATGTCGGCATCAACTGTCTAAAATTGGTGGCACCTTGAGGTGACGTATCCCACTTGGTGGCATTGTCCTGTCTTCCCTCCCTCTATGGTGGGCTTGGGGATGTGAAGAAATCATTGTTTGGCTTCATCAAGCCATGAAACGTTGTTCTCCCATATTAGTGGCGTTGTTCATCCCCCTTCTGGTGGACTCTTTTTTGCATTCTTGTGACCTTCAAATGTCCTCGGCATTTGGTGCCCCCATTATTGTCATTCTCGTCGTGATATCATGCCAATTACTATCTCTCTTCTCTGCACTTCCTTAGGCAATGACCACACAATTAATATCTCTCTTCTCCGCACTCCCTTGGGCAATGGCCACCCTTTCAGTGAAGAATTTTCCCAATCCTTCATGCATGCTCGATGTGCTAGTATCTCTTATCTCCTTGCACTCCGGCATGCGTAACGACCACCCTTCCAACGAGCATGGGCACTAGGGTGGAAAATGGAGTAACTCCCCGATCATCAGTACTCGTGGTCCTTTCTTGCCGGTGATTTCAGCATTGCCTTAATTCGAGCTCTCGTGGAATATGACAATAAGATACAAGGCATATTTATTGCTCTCTAAATTCATTTATGGGTTTTTCTTTTCAAAGGTTCTCTCACATGAGCTGACAACAAGGCAAATAACCTTTATATGGTGTGTCATTTTCTCCTTATTTCCCTACCATGTCTGAAGGAATTTAAACAACATCTCAAACGCCATACTACTCAAATTTTCTCCATCGTTTTTTAGAGGAGTTCTTATCAAGATTATGGCTATCTGCAAGATCAAAATTTGATTAGGATAGTGATAGAGAGTTAATTTAGCATGGGTTGACTATGTACTTGCCACTTTTGGTAACCATCCCTTTTGCAAACCACCTTGCATCTCCAACGTGGTGCCGCAAAACACTCGCTATCTGTCTGCCGATGCGTCCGCGGACATGGATACGGGAGCGGGCCATCCAACGTCGTTTCCAAAATGTCCGCCCGATCGGAAAAGTTTATATGTTTTGGTCAATAGCAGTTGTGATGAGTACATAAGTGCATACATAACCAAAAAGTGGAAGATGTTTGTAAGTTTTTACATGTGTTCGATTACAAAAGTTCTAGTTCGTCAGTCTGTTCAAATTGTGTCCTCTCAGACTGGTTGTTCGTGTCTACTCTCTTATCACTCTGTTGCCGGATCCTCCACAACTTTTGCTTCCGCCATCTCTGCTGCCAAGCTCTTCAACATCTTCGCATGAACAGCTTGCACGATATTCCCTCCATCGGGATCCAAATTGTCCATCTTCATGGACAACATTTTGGTTTCCTCCGAAGCGGCCGCAAGCTCAACCTCCTCTCTTCGAGCATGGTCTTCTGCTATCCGTCTGCGGATGCGTCCGCGGACATGGATACGGGAGCCGTCCATCCAACGTCATTTCCAAAACATCCGCCTGATCACAAAAGTTTATATGTTGATCAATAGCAGTTGTGATGAGTAAATAAGTGCATACATAACCAAAAAGTGGCAGATGTTTGTAAGTTTTTACATGTGTTTGATCACAAAAGTTATAGTTCGGCAGTCTGTGCAAATTGTGCCCTCTCAGACTGGCTGTTCGTGCCTACTCTCTTATCACTCTGTCGCCGGCTCCTCCATAGCTTTTGCTTCCGCCATCTCTGCCGCCAAGCACTTCAACATCTTCACATGGACGGCTTGCATGATCTTCCCTCCACCGGGATCCAAATTGCCCATCTTCGTGGACAACATTTTGGTTTCCTCCGAAGCAACCGCAAGCTCAACCTCCTCTCTTCGAGTTTGGTCTTCTTCTCTTCGAGGTTGATCTTCTTCTCCGCTGTCACCATGAAGATGTCAAACCTCTCCGCCCTCTTTTCCTCCTTGACGTCATGACGCTTGACACATTCCTTCTCCTTCTTTTCCACAATGCCCTTGAACTTCTCCATCACCTTGGTTGCCGCCCCTTCTCGCTTCCCCTTCCCCTACTCTGTACTCCCACTTCCTCCCTCGGATCGCCCTTTTGACCTTCTTGGTCAGGTCTCTTTTTGTTGGGTCTATTGGATCACCATCTTTGTCTTCATTGCCGATGTCGGTGCTCTTGACGGTATGAGAAATGGATAGGAGCCACTTAGGTTTCCCATTCAACTTCAACCAACAATGCATGACGATGAAGTTATTCTTCTCCACCTTCAAATACAATGTGACCGCACATGAGGGATAGCAAAAGAGGCATGATCAACACATATAGCATATTCAGACAGATGACCAACACATATAACAACTTACTTGCTCCGAGATTAGCGTACAACTTGGCCACTGGTTTATGAGTGTATTGAGATGGCCACAATACTTGCTCACGGGCTCTTGGGTGGTATACCATTGATGTGTGAGCGACTTTGGCGTACAATCTCGGATCACTTCCGAGTTTTAGAAAAAGTTCTTGTGCTCAAGGAACCAAGTATGAACATTGGACCAAAAGGTCGAGCCTTCTTGCTCCGTGCCTTGAAAATGGTCGACGCTAATGGCGAGCCAAGCATCACACAACGATTTTTCCTCCCTCAAATTGAACCTTGCTTCCCTCTTCTTCTTCTTTGGGTCGCCACCGGCCGACCAATCGTCTGAATCAAAGGCCCGTCTAATCGGCGTATAATCCGACTGCTAGGTGTACATTTTTTATTGCTCGCAAACCTCCCCAACGCAGTAGAGGTCTTGACTCCCGCAAACCTCCCCAACGTAAATCCAACACGCGGGACGTATGCCACATCACATTGGATGCGTCGGTCTGGACGTTTTGTGGCTCGACGTTGGAGATCCGCTAAGAGCATCTCTGGCAGGTCTCGTAAAATCTCCTACTGTAAAATCGTTTCGGATATACTATAGCACTAAGGTGTGTGTTCCGCCTGAACAGATCTCATAAAACTCGTTTCGGGTCATATGTAGAAGCCCACTTGTTAGTAGTTAAATTTACAACAGGGTCCTAAAAATAGCATAAAGCCCCCTAAAAGCAAAATGTAGATTACAATTGGGTCCTGGCCGCCGCCCCGGCAACGGCACCAAGCGGCTCCTGGCTAGCCAGCGACGTGTCGTCGCGTGGCGCTGAGTCATTTTATGGCTAAAGGCAAAATATTTACGGTTTGGCGAAAATGCAGGATCTGCTCGGGTCATTTTTTGGGACAAAAACCGGAAACCATGCTCTAACTGGGCATATATACACCCTGACCATCATCACTCATCAGTGAGAAAACCCGTTCATTCTGCAGTTATCTCCAAAGCTTTAATTACAACGTAGGAGACTATAGGAAGGACGAAGGCCCAAGCGATCCTTCTCTGCGGCAAGTAAAACCAGGCAAATCCACAGCGCCAACTGAGCCAGAAATACATCATCATCGTCATGCCCGTCAAAAACACCAGCCGAGCCTGAGCCTACAGGCAACGCACAACGCACACAGCAAGAACCAAGAAGAAGAAGAAAAATCTCAATACGGCGCCTCATGAACACAGGCAGCAGCGAGGGCGAGGGACACCGCCGCAGCACGCGGGGCCGCAGCCGGCACAGGCAGGGCACGCGCAAGAGGAGGAGCAGCCGGCGCAGGAGCACGAGCAGCCACACGAGGGCCCGCCGCCGCCGCAGCCCCCGCTCCCCACGCAGCAGCGGGGGCATCCGCAGCAGCAGCTCGGCCCCTTGAGCTGGACGGCAGAGCACCCGCCGCCGCAGATCCACGGGAAGCAGCTCAAACACGCCCACCGGGTTCTGCAGGCACAAACATTAACATTCCCCTCAGTCAGTTCATTACAACGAGACTACTAAAACCGAGTTCAAATCGATGCATGCATTGCTGGCTGATTCATAATTGTTATGGTTTGTAGAGCGCAGATGTAAAACTGGGAAAATTATCAATATTCCAAAACTTTTAAATATAAACATGTGCAGTTTAGTACAACAATTTGCATCAGCTTGGGTTGATCCGGCATCATTTTCTTTCGAGAGAACCGTCGACATATATTAGGATCTGCGGGAAGAAAATGATTACCGAATCTTCTTTGGGGAGCGATGAGATTGATCGGCGTTCCCCTTCTCAGATGAACTGCAAGCTTGTAAAGAGAGATACTAGTAAGAACAAAGATATCTTGTAGGCCAAGACAATTTCTCAACCTGAAAATCCATACATCGTTATGAATGGATCGGCATTCTTTCCTATGAACTCATCGACCCTGCAAATTTTATCAAAGGGGCAAACAGTGATCAATCAGCTCCATATGTCATGAACAAGAAGAAAATTAACTTAAAATTGGCACAACTATGTGAACTGATTGACATATGAAGAAGAAATACATATTTTTGGCTTTTGCACACATGACCTGACTGCTACGTCTGCAGCTTACGCTGATATTCATTTATGAAGAAGAATAAAGTAAACAGTGGCACTAAGACTGGAGACAGAAATACAAGAACTGCCTGTACAGTCACCGCAACCCTGTATAATTTAGGTCCAATTCTAAAACATATTCATATGTTTAAATACAATCAATCATCCTAATCAAATTTCAAGTAACCAAACCTCCTAAACTATCGTTACCAGATTTGCATAATGTTCAACTGTACGTGTATACTATTTTCAATCATTACCGGATTTGCTAAAATGTGGAACTTCCATTTGTAGGTTTTAACTAAAATCTGTGTTGCTTTCACACATCCATGTAGATGTGTTGCACGTATCTGTACAACTTTGTTCAAACATGGGCTCACTTGCAATGGATTGTTCCCCATTCTTGGAGCCGGAGAACTGTTTCTTGTTTTCGCTCCCCAAGTTACCTCTTAAACTTCAAAAAGGAAATTGATAGTATAAGAATTGAACAAGACAGCAGCTTACTCTTTGCAGCATATGGAGGCAGCATGGAGCCCTTCAATGGAACTGATCTCCCCCTGGCACAGAGAGAACAGCTTGTTGAATTCCAGAGAAATTATTTTTTACTGAAAAAAAAGCAGTAGCTACAAGCTAGAGTACAAGGAGGAGAGGGCATGTGCCAACTTTTCAGGCTGCTGTGTGGGATATTCTAACACTTAGAATCTACTACCAGTAGTAGTAGTAGTAGTAGAAAGGGACACCTGGAAGGCTGGAACTGACTTAGAAGTGACAACTAAACTGTGTGCTGGTAACAGACTCTAATACCTACTACTGTATAAAAAATGGTACTCCCTCCATTCCATAATGTAGTGCTTCCTCTATCCACGTGTTTCAACTTTGACCGTAAATTTAACTATCAAGACCGATTGCGGCGGGAGCAAAAATTATATCAGTGAATTTGTATTCGAAAGAAGTTTTCAATTATATAATTTTTTCTCCCGCCGCAGTTGGTCTCGTTGGTTAAATTTATGGTCAAAGTTGGACCTCGGAAAGCGCGGGCGCACTATATTTTGGAATGGAGGGAGTAATCATTTGTTGTGTAGGCTCAATTGCAAATTAGTAATTTTCTTGCGTAATAATAACAGAGTAACAGCAGCAGCAGGGCACCATGTAACAGGGCTGTGGTGCGGGAGCCAACCAGGAAGAGCGATTAAGGTCAGGAGCTTGGGTACCTCGAGGAAGCTGATCTGGCGGTGGAGCGCGTCGACGGCGAGCTGCAGCCGGCGGCGGCCGCAGGGGTCGAGCGGGGACTTGGGCCTGGGCGCCGCCATTGCCGGCCTCGGAGGAGCCTGGCTAGCTGGACGGTGGTGGATGGAGGGCTCGCTCGCGCCGGCTGGCTAGCTGGGCCAGGAGAGGAGCGGGGGGCGGGAGGTGGACGGCGGCGGGGAGTGCGGGGAAGCAGAGAGCGTCATCAATGGAGTGAATGAGCGATCAGTCTAGCAGACCGGATCAGATCACGCCGCTGATGCTGATGTGCTGCCTCCTCGGAAGGAGGAGCAAGGGGATTCAGAGGCCCGGCGGCGGCGGCGGAGAGAGGGGGGGAGAGCGATGGACGGAGGTGGCCGCCGGGAGGAGGAGACAGGAAGTCGTCGGTCTGTAGGGCTGGAGACTGGGGTAGGTAGGGTAGGTAGGTGGTGGGTAGTGGGTAGGGTTAGCCAAGGCTGCTGGGCCGGCTGGACCCTCGCGGGCCTACCACGACCACCACTTCTCTACTTCCTTTGACTCCATTCTAAAAAAAAAAAATCATTAGCATTTTGTCCTTCTCTGAAGTAGCCAATCAAGTCCATTTTTTGGGATTAAAAAAACAAAGCAATTTTCGCAAAATGTTACTAGCTGATTGATGACTTGATTATCATTTTTCGATTGAGAAAACATTATTGATGAACACGAACTACAAAGTAGACAACGAGACGAAAAGCGTTCACTACAAATATGTAGTCCAAATCCGTCCTCATGACGATGTAGATAATAGACTTACAAACAAAATCATCTCGAAACAATCCCTCAAAAATAAAAAATCATCTCGAAACAAAGAATTACACACAAGAACGGTCTTCCTTCGTGGGTAATAAACACTTTCCCCTCTCCCCTCTCCAAAACAACATGCGCAACCATGTCCTGACTATACATGCCACAAGCCGGATAGGTAAAAGTTCCCAGGCCTAAGAGCCCGAGAACATCTCCAAGAAATATGTACAAACATAGGCGGCGATGCATTAACATGTCGCACCTTTGACAACAATGTAACGATGTACCGTACGCTTTCCTCATCTGCTCCTTACCCTGCAGAGCGGTCCATGCGCTTAGTGAAATTAGCGATGTCGTGAGCGTGGATCCGTGCTCACGAAGAGGGTGACTAGAGATTACATGAATGGAACGCGAAGGGTCTGAGTAGAGACCCCGGATCTCCTACGCTCTCGTGCCTGGCTTGGCCCATGCCGCCACCGTGCGACGAGAGCATCCTCCTCTGCAACAGTCAGGGGTGCTGTATGCTCAGCTGGATTTCCAAGAAAGATGAGTTGCAACAGATTAGGGAGCATGAAATGATCTCACGAAGCACAATATTATACAATATGCTTCATTACTGACAAAGCACCCAGCAAGCAAAACACCATCCTGCCATTTACTTTTATTTTGCATAACAGGATAGCAAAGATTCGATTAATGTGCAGCATGGAGTGGAACGTAACTGGTTTTGTGTTGATTCAGTTCAGAACAGTCACAAAAAGAATCTTCAAAGCTAACGGATTAGTACACAACAAGTTGCGGCAGATTCACAAATCAAGCAAAATTATTATGCTAAAGTAATTAGTTGAACAGAATAGTTGTGACACTAATGTGGCTGTCGGCATGGAAAACAGTTTGAGAACTGTTCGACAATAGCGCAAGCTACTTCTGTTCTACAGCAGTGTCAGCTACTTTGTTCACAATAGGTAGACAAATATTGTGGATCACAGAGTAAATAAATATTAAAAGCAGGTGGCATGAAAGAAAAACGAGTTTAAGTCCTTACGTGTGTCTCAAAGTCCGGGCTAGACAGGTTTACCGATAGATTTTTCATCAGTTGTAGTACCTGGAGATTAGCCCATAAAAAGATCATTGTAAGTGAGTAGAAGTTATTAGGTAATAAAAGTGAATCCCTGACAGTACATTTCGACTTGCAAAAGAATGAACAAAGTAAGCATCTGCATTTGCTGCGAACATATAAGTAACGTATATAAGAATTACAGCAACTAAATATCCTTGATAAGGAGCAATGTGCAACAATGAGTAATTAAACTTCACCCAGAATACACCTGTCCGGAATAGTTTCATAGGTTTTTATATGACACTGACTGAATCGAGGTACTGACATAGCAGCTTGCGAGTAACTGGGATGTCACTAAACAATGCAAACAAAACGACCTGGCCTTCATTCTTGCAGAAATCAATAGCTTTATAGCAGGGCAGATGAATCAATTACAGAGGGGAGATTAGCAAATGGCAATACCGTTTCAGCATCTATAGGATCCATCTCTCTCAACTTCTGCAAATGTCCTGTTGTATCTGGATCAAATACGCCCCCAAGAAAGTTGTATACTTGAGCAAAGTCTGGCATGGCTGCAAGTTCACCAGAATAAGTACAAAACAAATGTCAGATAGGGAACTGATAAACCAAAAACATGAACACATTGTTTCATATCAAGGCCATCAAAGGGTAATACGAAATACTGCACATCATTACATTTTTCATATTGTAACAGGGTACATCATTTATCATCCAGACATCAAGAGCATTACGGCAAATTTGCAAAAATTGATGGACAGAATGAAGGTAAGCCAAATGCAGAAGGCTCCAACAGAGTTAAACAGGGAGAAACACACTGATTGACACCACAGACTGAAAGGTTCAAAAATAATGAATGGAGTTAAACTAGCCTTGTTAGTGTACTCTCATATCATGCACATCTGCCAGATATGCGGAATAGAATTTGCACATATCATATCATGCACTTTAACAAGTGGAAATAGAATTAAATGAATGTGACCGATTGATCAACTCTTTAACAAGTGGAACAGAATTTGCACGTATCATGCATTCCAGTTTACATCTAATATAACCAGATGAATCTTAATATAGCCACAACAGTTGCCACCATAATCCATAGGGTTGTGAATTTATTAAAAATTTGTATAGATGTCCACAACAGTCTCCAGCATGTTAACAAACTGTATAGATGTATGATGTACAAAGAGAAGCTCACCATGCAGTGCTGGAAGTACAATCTCTTGCTCAATCGCATCGGAAGTTGGCCAAATTTCTTGCTCAATCGCATCAGAAGCTGGCCAAGTTCCAGATTGGCACTCTATGCTACTCGAGCTGTTATTTGCGGTGCCTAAATCTGTCGGTTCAATAAGAACAAAGAAGTTAATGGTACCTTGTAAAAATATTGACCATAGACAGAATATGCGAGTAGTTAACACAATTGTAAACCTTGTGTGTGTCTTGGGCTATAAGGTTGGGTAAGAACATCGTCCCAGGAAGGAAATGTGTCCTCGTTTGCACTTGAGTTTGTAGCGACAGTAGGTGCATCCATAGGTATAACACGCCCTTGTTCCACGACATGAGGGGGTTGCTGTGGTAAGTCGACTTCAGGGGCTGCAGGAGCTCCAAGATATCATATTAGACCATTTTTTATTGTAGGTTAGTCAGATGAGGGGTGAAAAATGCTTACCCTTTTTCGAGGCTTTGTTATGTGGGTACGGGTGTGCCGCCTTCCTCTTGGGCCTAGGTGGTGGCAGATGTTCACCTGTTCCATTCTTTTGAACCTTGAGAAAGTACTTCTGTGCATGGCTCCTGATCTGTCAACAGAACTGTTTATTTAGATCATCACCGCACAGTTTGTCAGACACAAATATATGAGAAAGGAGCAAGCGCATCTACTTATTGGAACAAGTCGAGAGTGGCAAAGCTATAATTAATAAACTTATAATGACCGCGTTCAGAGAAGAAGCAGATAAAAGATTGCAACCAAGCAGATCTGGAAAATGTATTATCAACTATAAAATATGGGTTGCAAACCAAACAACTAAGCATACTTTGTCAGATGATAACTAACCAAACAGCAAAGAGAAGCAGAAGTTGAGCGCAGAGCAGAGCATCTATATGTACCTGTATCACTGTCTTGGAGCCAACAAACGCTTCGATCTTTCTCCAATCTCGATCAAACCTGTTATGCAGAAACACAAACAGAGAGATACATGTAACTAACGAGGGTAGATAGACAGACTATACACAGAGAGCCATTTCAGTTGCCACACGAGCCTCTCGAGAAGCAGACGGCCTAAGGCACTAAACAGAGCACTCTTGTGCTGTCCACAGATCATCCGGACCTATGCGACCGCTACACCAGATCTCAATGTTAAGTTGCGCCGGCGGATGGACGACGATGCCGAGGCCGCTCAGTCAGAACAACTTAAGAGAGTGAATTGGTGCAGGGCAATATGATTAACTGGTGAAAAGATGGTGAAAATCAAATGTAAATGGCCCATGGTTTGCTGGTAACGGAAGGGCGATTCACGAGCATCGATCGAGAGGATATGCGGTTAAGCACTAGGCCCAACAGTCCTGTCCTAGTTGCTCCCACACGCCAAGCCCCGTGACCGTGAGGATCCACTTCAGACCAGCCGCCCACAACTTGAGATCCAAATCGATTACTTGTACTCTAGCCCGGCCGGCCGGCCGCCCGGCGTGGCTGGATCCTAGGCTGAACGCGGTGACCGACGGCGAGCCGATCGACGAGCTCTGATCAGCCGGACCTAATTAAGCCCGATCCCCAACCAGCAGACAAGAGGGAGGGAGGTCGGGGCCGAAGGTACTCACAGGAGGAGCGCCTCGATGAACTTGTCGTGCTCCGGGTCGGTCCAGCTCTCCCGCGACTTGGTGATGGTGTAGGGCTTCCGCACCCTCCCCTCCGCACCCTCGCCGCCGTCCACGCCGGGCACCGACGACGACTCCATCACCGCCGCCATCGCTCTCTCTGATCCGATCTCGGTCGCTGGAGTCTGCTGAGGAATGGAATGGAGATGGGACTCTGTGGCCAGCAGCAGAGTCCTCCCCCCGTGGACAAGGAAGGAAGGAAGGCGGGACGAGGACGGTGACGTGGCGGGGGCCTCGGCCGCTCCTGGCCACGAGCTCTCCCCGCGCACGCCGACGCCCCGGCCCCACCGGAGCGCCACGCCACGCATGGCCCAGTACGACTTGATAGGCTGCATCTTTTTCAAGGGAGCCGCTATCCGCCCCATGGAGCTCCGTTGGATCAACGCTCGGACAGCCGTCAGATCTAACCACAACGCGCGTGACCGCCTTCTTACTTCCTGCAACAACCGGTCAGTTTCGCAAACAGATTCCCCTGCCGCCGTCCTGACACAGCCGCGCCCAGCGCGGCGCCAGCCCCCGCCACCACAAAATCGCTGCCGCCGGCGCACCGGGGAAACTAGTCCTTGTTGTGCTCGCCGGAGTTGCTGCTCCTCCTCCGTCTCAGCCCCGCGAGAAGCCGCTAGCTCCAATCGAGCACGATGACGATGACGACCTCTCATGGCCGGTGCTTCTTCGGCGTTTTCTGCATAGCTATGTTTCTGAAACACGTCTCATGTTGCAATGTCTAACCACTCACTCCTAAGGCGCTGCAACTCGGACTATATTTGTGAAACAAGACCCCAGTTGCAGAAAAAAAAATACCTTCACCACCGAATCGTTTTTTTTTCTTTCTGAAACTAGTCTCGTGCTGTAGAAATCTAGTGAAACTGGACCCTTATTGCAAGAAAAAGACTAGCCGCGCGAGAGTGACCTGTGGCCAGCGTGGCCGCTTGATCAAGATTGATCTGACAGTTATGCAAGCGGCGGATGCTCGCGCGTGCATTAGCCGGCTAAAGGTAAGCTTTTCCCTTTTTTTAACCTCGTTCTCATCTTTCTTTCCTTTTTTGACAACTCACAAACCCCCAAAGAACGACCCACCCCCGCTCCCTCCCGGGTCGCTCGCGCGAGCAGACCTGAAGGCCCCAAAACCTAACAAAAAAAGCCCCCGATCACGGCCTCCCCTGGCTGTTGCTGTCGCCGGCGTCAACGGTGGCGGCCGCGCCCGGCCGTTCAAGGCGGCGGGTGGGTGGGCGCGCCCCGTCGGGATCCCTTCGCGCGGAGGTGAGACGACAAGCGGGCGACGAGGAGGTGCGGTGGTGCTGGTCGGGAGGCGCGGGGGAGGAGTTGTGGTGCACGGCGGAGGCCCCAGCGGAGCTGTGGAGGTTCTGGAGCAGGCTGGCGCTGCACAGCAGAGGCACCTGGAGGAGATCTAGTGGCGGCGTGTCACGCCCAATATGTGATACTATCCTAAAGAGACTCGAAGGTCCCACCAAGGATAGAACCGCATATTGAAACGCTTTTGCAAGGTGGATATCATTACATCAACATTACATAATAGGTGGGGATACATACAAGAGGCATACAATGCCACACGAATACAACATCACAATACATAAGAGCATCATCCGACTACAGATGAAACACAAATAGAAACTCAAACGATATCCACCCTGCTAGCCCAGGCTGCCGACCTGGAACCTATCCCCTGATCGAAGAAGAAGCAGAAGAAGAACTCGACGCAAGCAAGCATCGCTCTCGCGTCATGATCATCGCATAACCTGTACCTGCAACTATTGTTGTAGTAATGTGTGAGCCACGAGGACTCAGCAATCCCATTACCATGGGTATCAAGACTAGCAAAGCTTAAAGGGAAAGGAAGGGGGGTAAAGTGGTGAGGTTGCAGCAGCGACTAAGCATAATATGATGGCTAACATACGCAAATAAGAGCGAGAAGAAAGCAAGCGGAACAGTCGTGAAGCTAGCAATGATCAAGAAGTGATCCTGAACTCCTACTTACGTCAAACATAACCCAAAACCGTGTTCACTTCCCGGACTCCGTCGAAAAGAGACCATCACGGCTACACACACGGTTGATGCGTTTTTATTCGGATCTGGTGTCAAGTTATCTATAACCGGACATTAACAAATTCCCATCTGCCCATAACCGCAGGCACGGCTTTCGAAAGTTTATACCCTGCAGGGGTGTCCCAACTTAGCACATGATAAGCTCTCGCGATCAACGAAGGATATACCTTCTCCCAGGAAGACCCGATCAGACTCGGAATCCCGGTTTACAAGACATTTCGACAATGGTAAAACAAGACCAGCAAGACCACCCGCTGTGCCGACAAATCCCGATAGGAGCTGCACATATCTCGTTCTCAGGGCACACCAGATAAGCTAAGCGTACAGGTACCGACGTAATCCAAGTTGCCAAGGAATGGTCCCGCACGATGCTCTAGTTTGGACCAACACTCGGAGGAGCACTGGCCCCAGGGGAGGGGGTAAAATAAAGATGACCCTCGGGCTCCGGAAACCCAAGGGAAAAGGGCTAGGTGAGGCAAATGATAAAACCAAGGTTGGGCCTTGCTGGAGGAGTTTTATTCAAAGCGAACTGTTAAGGGGGTCCCATAAATCACCCAACCGCGTAAGGAACGCGAAATCCGGGAACATAACACCGGTATGACGGAAACTAAGGCAGTAAGAGTGGAATAAAACACCAGGCATAAGGTCGAGTCTTCCACCCTTTACCAAGTATATAGATGCATTAATTAAAATAAGAGATATTGTTATATCCCAACAAAATCCTGTCCACCATGAGGCAATCTTCAACTTCACCTGCAACTAACAACGCTATAAGAGGGGCTGAGCAAAGCGGTAACATAACCGAGTTAATTGCACAGAAGTACCACAATTCGGCAAGGTTGTCAGAATCGCGATTTTGAATCAGATCGGAGCTTCGATGGTAGGATCGCAAATCGTAGAATCTTCACTATCAGGATCGTAAAAACGTATATTCTATGAATTAAAATCATAGAATCAGAGTGGTTTGTTTGGATTGTAAAGTCGTAGAATCGTATAACAGAATCACGATTTTGACAACCTTGCAATTCGGGCATCACATTCAGATTGGTACCACGATTGCTAATTTTTACATGTCAGTATCAACATTGGTCCGGGTTTTTGCAAATTAGGCTAAAACGCGTATTTATACGTATTGACAGTGTATCTGACTGTTGGGGCCGTCTATCTGGTGCAAAAAAAAACCTTGTTTTATACGTAATCACATAAATACCTGTTATTTTTGCGGAAAAAATGTTAACATGAGAGAATTTTATTTTGTTCGGACTTGTTTGAAAGTTTCCAACGAACTGGACAAATAAATAAAGTAAACGAAAAATCAGGCGCACCAGGCTTCGAACATGCGACATGCAACACGCGAGCGTTGCGCGCTAGCCACCCGGCCAAAGGGTTGCTCGTGTTTCTGTCCAGGCAGGAATTTATTTATACAAGAAAGGAACGCTGGCCGGTGGTTGGGCCAACCAAGGCCTGTAATTGTTTTTTTGTTTCACCTTTTACTGACGCGCGTGCTGGGCTCGTTCACCCGGATTTCTTTTCTATTTATTTATCTTATTATGCTTTATTTTTGTTTCTGATTTTGGCTTATTTTTAGGTTTTTCTTTCTTTCTTCTTTTATTCACTGGGTTCGTTCATCTTCTGTTTTTAACATACTTACTAAGTATTTTTTTAGATAGGCTTCAATACATGATGTTTTCAAATACATGATGAACATGTTTTCGAATTTGCATAAACATTATCTTAATGTATGCTGAGCACCTTTTCTGCATATAGTGAACATTTTTTAATGCTTGATGAACTTTACTTTGCAAACAGTGAGCATTTTTTAATATATTGAACTTTTAGCTTCAACATTTTTTTTAATATATACGATGAATATTTTGGTAATTTAGGTTGCTCATTTTTTAATATATACGGTGATCATTTTTGTAATATAGGTTGAACATTTTCTTAATACATGATGAATTTTTTTGACAATGTGCATTTGAGAAAATGTTCAGCATGTTTTAAAAACTTATTGCGTAAAATCATTCTAGCATTTCGAGAAACACATCAATTTTTTAATAAAATTTGCACTGTTTTAGTGCACTAATATGCAATCGCAAAAAAATGTATTAATATTATGATTTAAAAATAAGTGATTCAGGGCACGCAGCAGCGCTGGGCTCGGTGGCCGGCCCAGCGTGGCTACTGTAATATAAAGGAAAACCCGCCTGTAACCTAACACAATCTTTGCTCTGGCCTGGTGGCCCGCGTGCTCCGCCCGCGTGCTACAGGTCGCATGTTCAAAACCAGGTGAGCGCGATTTTTCGTTCACTTTATTTATTTGTCCAGTTCGTTGGAAACTTTCAAACAAGTCCGAACAAAAAAAATTCTCTCACGTTAACATTTTCCTCGCAAAAATAACGGATATTTATGTGATTATGTATAAAGCAAGGGGGTTTTCTGCAAAAAAATATGCCACGTCGGCACATGACAGATGGGCCCCAACAGTCAGATACACTGTCAATACGTATAAATGCATGTTTTAGCCTAATTTCCAAAAATCCGGACCAATATTGGTATTGACATGTAAAAATTAGCAATTGTGGTACCAATCTGCATGTGATGCCCGAATTGTGGTACTTCTGTGCAATTAACTCAACATAACCAAACAATGGTTTGTTAGGAAGGGTGAAAATGGTTAGAGGCTAACATGGCAATTGGAGGCTTGAAGAGCAAAAGATAGATAGCGCAGCAAAGCGATAGAACGAAGCAACTAGCATAGCAATGATAGTAGTGAGATCCAGGGTAGCGGTCATCTTGCCTGAAATCCCGCAAGGAAGAAGAACGAGTCCATGAAGAAGATGAAGCCACGAAGACGAACCAAGCGTAGACGAACGAATCCTCACGATCGCAACGATACGGCAACTATCAAAAAAAAGCACACAACATAGTAAACACACCACACATATACGTGACAAGATGCACAACAAGCATGATGCAAGACAAGACTACATGAAGCTACTCATGGTAAAAGATGATGCCAACAAGA